TATTCTATGATTCTATGATTCTATTCTATATACCTCCACTTTTGAACTTCAAGGTTTATGAGATGTTGAGATCCAGACTGGCATTCATATGTTCTTCTCTATTCCTTTCTAGGGAGTTAATAATGAGAAAAATAATATCTGAATATTACTTACAAAACAATAGGCCCACTGGCTCCTTGGAAGACCTCATTTGGTAACCTTTCAAGGTTGTGATTATCACTTAGATTTCTGAAAAAACACAACAATATTCATGCTAAAACAATCTGAGATTAACAAAATCCCTTGTAGCAGTTACTAGCTTCTAATGATTGCTTTTCAGAATAGTAAACAACAGAAATAGTTACAGCTCATCCAGGTAGGTTCCATTAAACGCATAATCCTCTATTTCCCGAATCCCATTTTTATTCAGCCATCTGTAATAGAGAGAAAATTCTTATTCATGGTTCGTAACTAAAATGTATAATTCACATCCACGAAAGGGATCTCAAACCAATAAAATTATTAAATGGATATTCAGAGGTGACAAGTCTATGAATTCTAGCAACTGTCTGAAGGGGGCCTATAAGGATGTTGGGGAGGGACTCTTCATTAGGGACTGTAGTGGTAGCACAGGGGGTGATGGGTTCAAACTTAAACAGGGAAACTTTAGGTTAGATATAAGGAAGAAGTTCTTTACAGTGAGGGTGGTGAAGCCCTGGAATGGGTTGCCCAAGGAAGTTGTGAATGCTCCAACCCTGGCGGTGTTCAAGGTGTTGAACACCAAAGTGTCCAGGTTGGACAGAGCCTTGGGCGACATGGTTTAGTGTGTGGTGTCCCTGCCCATGGCAGGGGGGTTTGGAACTAGATGATCTTAAGGTCCTTTCCAACCCAAACCATTGTATGATTCTATGATTCTAAGTAATTCCCAGGAGGTGGAGGAAGGCTTTGGAAAGTAGGCATGAGTAGGGCAGATAGATAGGTGCTACTATCAGAGATGACAGCTGGAGCAAGGGCAGAGCTGAAGAAGATGCTGGTACTGGAAGCAGCAGTGGAATCAGTGTGGCTGTTCCAGCTTAATCCCATGATGGGTGAGACCTGGATCTTTCCTGCTAGAGCTGCTGGTGCCACTTAGTTTTACTCTTTTCAAGATGCTTGAAAAGGCCACAGCTTCACCTCTGCCAGGGACAAAGGGGGGTGGGGGTGGTGCCAAACCTCCCAGGAAGTGACTGATTCCTCCTACATCTGCTGCCTTTGGAAATTACACTCCCTGTCTGCTTTGCTGCCCCAGTCCCACCTCCAAAGGCTTCCTCCCCCAAGAGGAGAGACAGGTATGAACCTGGGAATCGAAGCTCCTGGGGCTTTCTGCGAAGTTGTTACTGAAGTGCATTAACTAATTAAGGTTTAATGTCCTTCTCTCTCTTCCCTTCACGGTCCTAAAAATTTACATTTGGGTCAGTTATATTTATCATCTTTATGATGCAATCTTTCATCTCGCTTTAAATGTCACTTTGCAACTCACACCCTCTCCAACAAGGCAGTGACAGGTCTGACTGATGGCAAAAATGGCGTGATTTAATTAAACTGTCAGCAAACCTGGACATTTTGTTTTTAATTCACACTGAAAGCTGGGAATGTGAGTGACCCACTTAGATAAGGTCTGAAGTGGTGAGCTAAGGTCAGCATGAAAATCAGTTATGGGTCTGGCTGAAAGGATTACCCTTTTGACCATGACAGGCAGATGTACATAGCTCTGTGTCTATAATATCTGTCAGGTCAGATGAGGAGAACTGTCACCATCCCCTTCACTTGCAAGCACTATTAGACAGGAGTTAAGCAGGCACAGAGGAGAGACATGTCCCTGCTTATAGCATTTAAAACATTTATTATATTACATTGATCTTGTCCATTTATAACTGCCAGGCTGATATATATGCTTTTAATCACAGATTAACATTTACTGCATTCTTTCACTGAACATGATGCTAATGAAATGAGATACTAAGGTTGTAAAACTAGTCACTGTTGCCATGCAGTGTGGACTATACGCTCAGATCGCCTGGCTAATTGCATTCAAATAGTAAAAAGAGTAAAAAAGATTTTACCTAAATCCCAAGACCTCATTTTACTACATACAGACAATTTTCTGTTGACACAAATTCTCCCCTCATCTACCCTCCAGCCTTACCAACTCCACTGACTCTTACTTTAGCAACAAGGGACAATGAAGGCAGAGATGCAGAGCTTGGACAAGAAAAGCCTCATCAGGGACTGTCAAAGCACACAGGCAGGGCCTCTGTCCAAAGGGAGAACTACAGCAGAGTCAGCACATAAGGTGACCAGGCGATGGTGGCCAGGTCTCCTTGCACACATTGATGGGGCTGTTGCAGGAGGCAGAGCAAAGCAACCACAGCATCTCTGGGCAACCTGTGCCAGTGTCTCACCACCCTCACAGGGAAGAATTTCTTCCTTACACCTAACCTAAATCTCCCCTGTTTGAACTCATTACCCCTTGTCCTGTCATGACACTCCCTGATGGTATTGATGGTCTGACCTTGCTCCCATAAAGATCAATGTGAGACCATTCAGTCAATCAGATCTTGCTCGTTTACGTCAGGATGTGAAGCAAACTGCACACGCACACACACACACACACACAGAGTGGGAAAGTTTTCCAGTCTGGTCACTGGTTAGGTGAAATGAAGGCAGCTTGTTAGCAAGCAAACTGGAGGTTTTGATATACCAACAGAAGCAATCAAAGAAGTCAGTTTATTAAAATACATGACTGTTCAAGTCAAATGTAGTCATCTAACCATGCAGCGTGAAACTGCGTCATGAACTGGCCTGTATCAATGCATTAATATTGTGTACAAATATACAGCATTTCTGCAACATCTACATATATTTTGCCTGAGTAATAAATGCCTTTGAATGATGTGTCTGAGTGTAAATATTTATGAGTCATGCCATCCTTTTGAACACAATTTGTATCACATGGAACTGTTGTTGTAGGTGGAATATGTTTAACCTTGGCATCAGTAATTGCTAAATATGCTGTATGCTGTGCTTCTAAAATAAAGGGTAGGATTAGAATACAACAAAAACCCAGAAAGGCATTAATTTTTCATGGCAGGATAACAGAATACATGGATTTCAGGGATAGGGAAGAAGCCTAAACCCTTGAATTTGGAAGCGTATGAAACAGTGCCTATCCCCTGATTTTCTTCACCTTATTCTGGAAAAGAAATGAGCTAACAAGAAGAATGATGAATTTTCTAAGTCTTACTCACAGAATCACATTTTCAGAACTCAGGCCCATGAATGAATTCCTTTCAATTGTACGTATATTGATATTGTCTTGAATATCTCTGAAAAATAAAGTACAATAGAAACTATTGTATTGTGTATACAATAATATATATTTTTGTACCTCTGTGAGCCTTTCAATACTGCACACTATTTCCAACACAATCTGAGGAAGTATTATAGACAAAGGGTAAGAAGTTAAGTTTCTAAGACATTTTGTCTGCAGAGCACAAATGATGAGTTGTCCTGATAAAAAGGGCTGGAGCAAAACATTTCCAGCACCCCCATACTTTCCTCCCAAATAGGCTGAAGTCACTAAAATGCATAAAAGCTTTGGTCTCATAACCCTGAGGCAGATGAGATAGTTCCTTCAGGAAACAAACTACCCAGAAAATGCAAGCTGAGGGGCTGTGAGGCCACCCCTTCTCGCAGCCTCCCAACCAGAAGAGGGAAAAGTCATTAGCCTTTTTGGCCTGACCTACCAGCCCATGACTCATATCCCCCTACCACCCCCCCATGCTGACAGGGTTGCTTATAAGCTTTGCATGTGCTTAAGAAGCAGGACCCCTGTCAATGCAATTTGTTGACCTGACAAGTAGGCATGTCGGTCTTTCAGCAGTTTTGACTGATATACATATACATTCTGGTGCTTGCTCAAAATAGACCTCAAAGAAGTTAAATAGGATTAGTCATAATTTAGACTGGGATCTGGCTGTTTTCATGCTGTTTCTGTTGGAAAGCACAGTACGAAATAATTACCTGAAAGTCTGGAATTAAGTGCAGCTCCAAAATTATCTCACGCTGACAGTTGAATACGGCCACAACTGTACATTAGGTGACACTTACACAGAGGCCTCATTCTGCAAACTGAGGTCAGCAGAGGTAGGAGTAGGGAGAGAGTGTGGCTTCCATGCAATGAAGCGTATCCCTTTGCTAAAGATCTGCACCAGTCCTTTATAAACATCTTTGGGACTTACTTAAAATACTGGCACAACTGAAGTCAATGGGAATTTTCTTATTGACTTCAGTGGGGCCAGAGTCTAGTCTGGGACTCAAGCAGTATCAAGTCCTACTTATTCTTAGAGTCACAGAATAGTTTGGGTTGGAAGGGACATGACCTTAAAGCTCATCCAGTTCCAGCCCCCTGCCATGGGCAGGGGCACCTTCCACTAGAGCAGGTTGCTCCAAGCCCCTGTGTCCGACCCCTGTGTCCAACCTGGCCTTGAACACTGCCAGGGATGGGGCAGCCACAGCTTCTCTGGGAACCCTGTGCCAGCACCTCAGCACCCTCTAAACATCCCCTCTGTCAGTTTAAAACCTTTTCCCCTTCTTACAACAAAGTGAGGTGTTTCACCTGAAAAAAAAACCCCAAACCTTTTGCTCAGCAGGGCGCAATAATTCAAGTCTAGTTAACACTGATAATAAACATATATAAGTATATACATTCCTAGGAGGAATCTGTTGCATTTGCTTGATGGTTTTGGGGAGCCCTGAAGTGTAGTTCTCGGAATTACGTGTCAAGTATATTACATAAATATATTTTTTTATTATATATGTGTATACCATATACTCAGGCACCCCCTCTATGTTTTCAATGCATTTTTATTTATATGAATGGCCATTACTAAGGCAATTGCAGGATTAATGTTTCTGCAGCTTGAAATCTTCTAGTCACAGATTTGAACATGCAGAACTTTGCCTGTGCGTTAACAGTGTGTCTTGGCCAAAGGAAGAGAAGAAATAGTTGCTTATTTCCTTTGTGTTCTGCCTGTAATCGTACTAAGAACTGATTAAAAAACTTGAGGTATTTTTCAGCAAAAACATATCAAGTTTTTTGGATCGTATTTTTTACCCAACCCCCCTGCTGCTTTTACAGAAAAAAAGCACTTCACACAGAACTTTACACAAGGATTTTTTGCCCTTCTGCCACTGGACTTTCCATAGGAAAAATATTTCATTCTCTGGACAGATTTACTGCCAGTGGAAAAAAAAAGAGCATGGTAGAGATATTCCTCTGTGTTTCTTATTGTTTTTCACTCTGTGATGTGAGCACCTCTCCACAGGACACAGCTCTGAGATCAACCCTTCCCATGCAAGCCAGATCGCCAGGTGGCAACACATTTCCACTGCCACCAGCCTGGTTTGGATTTCAACTGGTGAAAGAGGAGTAAAAGGCTGTTCTCCGTCCTCTTGGCCACCCAGACACACACTCATAGCGTAGTTAAAGGAAGAGTGGTCTGTAAAGTGCAAGTTGTAATGCTTTGTAGCAGGGAGACCCAGAGAGAACTGAGACCTTTCAGGCCACTCATCATCAGTCCTAGAAAATTACAATCCAAAATGCTACCATGAAGCTAATAAGCAAACACAAGGGGAATCACATCTTGAAAGAGGAATCATATCTTAAAAGGTTTTGTTGGAGCAGAAGACCATTCGAAGGGAGCTTTTAAAAGTGAAAAGCAGACATTAAAACTTACAGTAAAACTT